CCAACCCCTATTTCATCTCTTACTGTACTATGTTCTAACCAGATGGAACCATTTTATTCCTTTAAGACACCTTATGTTTTCCTGTGCTATTTCTCCTCCCTGGAATGTTACCTTGATGAAGCCCTTCCTAAACAGATGTGATTTTCCTTCCTTTGTACTCCATAATATTTTGTACCACTTACATAACTAATTGCATTCAGCCTTTAATTACAGATATTTGGGCTTCCTCACACTCCATGACTATGCAAATCACAGAACAAACTTCAAGATAGACTTAGGTTTAATTCCATGAAAATGTCTAACTTTTATTCAGCATTTAAGAATTATTATATTGATGTATTTTCATTTCCCTCACAGTGCCATTGCACATAATGTACACAAATATAGCTTTATTTTTATATGAACGGTATCACAGGTAGGTATTTTTCTGGTTTTTTTTTTTTTTCACTTAACGTGATGCAAATGTTTTTACACTCACATATATAAGCACCTCATTATTTTTAATGGCTGCATAATAGTCTATAAAATGGATGTTACCTACTTTATTTAACCACTCATGAATATATTCGGAAGCTTTTAAATGCTTGCACAGGTAATGCTGCAACGTATGTCTTTGCACACTAATGCAGACATATCCGGAAGATAGCTTCTTAGACATGGAGTTACTGGGTCAGAGGTGTGTACATTTTTAACTTGTTAGTGCCACATTGCCTTCCAGAAACATTTGTAAAATTTGTTTCCACCAATAGCACATGACACTGCCTGTTTCCATGTCTGTGTTTTGTTATTGACCATTTTAAGTTGCGCCCATCTGTTGCACAAAAAATGCTCTCACTTTGCCATTTCCCTGTTTGCTAGTGAGGTTCAGTGTCTTCTTATGTTGGCTGTTTGTGTCTCCGAGAAGTGCCTGTTCATATCTTTTTGCCAGTATTTCTACCAGGTTGTCTTTTTCTTGATTTGTGTCACTTTTTTTATGGATTCTAGATATTAATCCTTTCACGTACATTGCAAGTACCTATTCATAGTTTATCACTTGTCCTTTAACTTTCTTTATAGTATCATTTGTGACTTTTAATTTTTAAGTAGGCAGATATTTAGTCTTTTATTTATGGCTTCTCAATTCTGTGCCTTAATTTTTTGAAAGGCCTTCCCAGTTTTACAATTATAAAAATGTTTTCTTCTGATAG